TAACGTGATTCTTTCTGTTCAAACACAAAGAACAAAAGGTATCAGAAACCGAAGCGCATGAGTCTTTGCTGAGTTCAAACAGTATGACCTTTATACATGCTGACGGCTCCAGACGCGATAACCACAACGGGGGCCGCCTTCATACATCATGATTACCATTAGTCAAAGCTCCTGTCAAATTATAACACTGTGTGTACGGCTGGGCTAAAATCAATCCTGGCAGCCCTGCTCCACATCAAGCAAGGTAACATGCAAGGGGCAGTCATGTGCACCGACTCTCACTCGTCGCATAAAGCTCTCGTCACTCTTTAATTCATCTCATCCAACGCTAAACGGTGTACGTCGAGCGCTCTGCTTCCATCCTCAACAAATTCACGTAATATTTTTTATAGATAACCAGGTCAGGTAAATATTCATGGAAAACAACACCGCTGACGAGGAAGCAAATTTAAGTCCTATGCTACCGGAACGCAAATCATCTTCCTTGTACCGTTTCCGATATTCTCGCAGTTATCAATTTACATTTTCGTTTCTTTCTCCAATCAGAATGGGATCAACGCGCTCATCGCCGCCTCCACCCGAGCAAGCCCATACTTAACCAATGGCCGACAACGATCAAGATAATGGCCCCAAAGAAAGTGCTTGCTTGCCAGATTTCGCATCGGCCACACCAAAATCACCACACTACTACCATTTCGAGCGCATTCCTCCGTTGTCATCGTTGCGACATTCCACTTACTATGAATCATTTCCCCCTCGCGTGCCCGGTATATCAACGATGAAGGCAATTGCTCATTAATTTCACCAACGCTAATCGGCCTCCATTCAACCTCCGTTCTCCCCCCGGTGACTCGCATCTTGGCCTGCTCGTTTTCCGACTTCGAATTTTTACGCAGTACAGGACGAGATAATTGCATTGGAATAAAGTTGTTTTCGTGCGTAATTTTGGCAAAATATGCGGGGCTTCCCCCATTGGCTAGGAGTCTTTGTTTCTCTTAGCAAAGACGTTCCAGGACTAAACATCACACAGCACTACAGGGCGTGTCGGACAGCGGAGCCCGGGACTGATCTCCCGTTGCTGCTCCGAAGCGGCCCGCCATCCATCCATCGCACAGGTCACCGACAAGTCAGCTGAACCCGGGCTACCGCTGCCACGGACACCAAACACAGGACTCGCGACACCCGAGGAGTCTGGCAGAAGGCCCGGTGAGGAGACCCACGGGTCGTTCAAAACGTATTGAATGCGTGTTGTGTAGTGTTGAAATAAATATATCTATGTACTGCTGCGGTTTGCTCTGCTTGCTACGATTTTATTCGGCAAAAATGAGCCAGATCAACGCAACGTAACTTCAAAATGCCCCCCCCCCCCCCTTGCTTTGCACCGGATAGCATAAGCCAGTCTACTAACGTAATTCCTGCCTGGCCTTAAGCCAGAAGTTATTGCCCCCCCCCCCCCCCCCCCACCCGCCTTCCATCGGAAGTGACTTTCGGTCCGTCGACGGAAAAAGAAGCCGATGTGTACCTTGCATTGGCCCGCTAGAAAAAAAAACGCACTTTAAGATGTCGTTAGCCCTGTTCTGCCTGTAAGTCATTTTGAAGTAAATAGTTTAAACTCAACATGTTCGTGACCTTCAAATACTGCTGGTGTCATGAGTGTTTCCAGCAACAGGAAGCTATGAGAACTCACACATTGGCTGTAGAGTTTAATCATTAGCCGATCGCTCGACTGGTGTCCGCGGGCATTGCAGGCAAAGCGGACCGTACGTGCGCGAGCTGTGTTAACCGGCGGTCTGCAGAAGTTCATTCGTGCACCCTTGCAGGGTGGTAATGGTTCTGACTCGGTGGAAGTAAAGTCGTCGACAAAAATGCGCGACTGTTGGGAAATTGAAGCACTACAAGTGAGTGCTAGGGTGGCAATTTTGCACGGCTAGTTTGGCAGCCACTTAATGTTATGTAAACGTTCCATGACGCCATAAAAACCCATGACGCATTCTGAAGCTTAAAAATAAGAAACAGGGCGTTAGTTTCATGGTAAAATAGAGTTCCCCCGTCATTTGAGGCTGAGTTTGACCTTCAAGGACGACCTTTGGGACATCAGACTTGTTGCCAGAAGCTAGCTTATACGCTGGTGAATATTCGGATGCCTGAAAAGTTGAAACTGGCCGGAAGTTGCTGGTGATATGGAGCCCCTCCGTATCTGAGACTTAGTTTTAACCTTGAAGGATGGATTATTTGACGGACGCTAATTCACGCACTTGTGAATATTATGGTGGTTGAAAAGTCGAAATTGATCGATAATGTTTTGTTAATATTGAGTTCTCCGCCATTTGAGATTTACTTTGAGCTTGAAGGGTAACCTCGAGAGGTCAGAACTTTCTGACGAACACTAGTTAATGCGTTCTGAATATTAAGATGCTTGAAAAGTTGAAATCCATCAGTAATTTTTGAGTGATGTGGAGTTGCCCGTCATTGGGCCTGAGCTTGCCCTTGAAGGGTGACCTTAAGGAGGTAGGACTTTTGACGGACGACAGTAAATGTGTTGGCGAATATTCTGATGCTTGAAATGTTGAAATCCGAAAAATTGGCACCTTTTTGGTGATATGAAATTTTCCGTTATTTCAGGCGTAGTTTGATCTTGATGGGTAGTTCGATCTTAAAGGGTAACATGGAAAGGGCGGGACTTCTTAATGGACGATGTTTTTTTCTCTGGTAAATATTCAGATGTTTGGAAAGTTAAAATCAGATGGTAGCTTTTAGTGATATGGAGTTCCGCGTCCCTTGATCTTGCTTTTAATCTCCAAGGGCACATGCTATGGCAAAGCAAATGTCATTTTCCATGTTATCGTCCGATAGTTGACCGATCGACAGTGTTTGCAGGTAAATCGAAACTCGTCGCTGAATAAATCACTGAATAAAGCGCACCTTCGCGGACACGCCAAATCCGAGGCCTCTCTAGCACCAGACGCTCCATTCTTTTTTTAAATAACCTTGGTCTCCTGCAGGGCTGCTTATAGTCCACCCCGCCGATGATCATAGACTGCAATATGGCATGATGTATCTCTCTAGTGGCCTCCGCGTCGACCAGCGACCCCGTGTCGCCAGAATGCCAGCCCGAATACACCCCGTGCTGGGACGGAACAACTCTTCAGCTCTGAACCGGTAATGATAATGTGCCCCTAGAGCTCTTCCCGCGGGACCCCCTGCCCAGAAAATGTGAGAGGTCTCAGAAGCGTTGAATGGAGTAGATCGAAATTAAGCAGAAAATAAAAGGGCAACTCATGGTGGTCTGAGAGCGTTAATTCCTTTGCAGAACTGCTGGTGAAACAAATAACATAACCAGTTTTAGGCCATGCACGCTCGCAATCTCAGGGGCAAGGACAGCCAGCGCCGGGGTTGCCGCTTTCGTAAAACCGAACGGCGATGGCCGCTGCAGATAACGGCAAGCGGCGGGTGCCGTGCGCGTGAGAACGACCGTCGTGAAGTACTGCTTCCGAATGTCTTTCAAAATACATTCGAGCCATTCGAAGATGAAACTCGGGCGTTCTTTCAAACAATGTTCAGGGTGCCCCCTATTCAAACTAAATGTTACAGGAGCGCGAAACATAGAGATTCTACCTTTTTTGTCCATTTCCTCCACCAGATTCCAGCATTCCTTCGAGGGTTTGTACAGGCTGATCCGTTCATATTAATCAAAAAATCGTGCGCGGGTGAAATATTCGCCCGGACCACTTGTTGAACGTACGTTTTGAAGCCCTAACGCGTTCAAACATACTTATTTCGGGTGGGTCATCTTTTTCGTCTGCTGGTTGACGACCGCTTAGTGTCGGGACTGGCAGGATCACTTAGCCCGTAATCACTACGCAGCCTATGGAGACTGCAATGCCGGACGTCGAGGTTGGTTTGCGCTGCGAGCGCGCGTGTTCAAAGCCATGTTGCATAGTTTCTCAGTAATCGACTTTGGCTGGATGTTGAGCATTTTAAGACCAGCATGAGTTAGAAATGTCAGCACAAATTTTGGACTTCATTTCCACCTATCTAGAACCTACGTTCAAGATGTCCTCAATGTCTCCGAAAAACTCCGGGAACTACCTTGAACTTGGCAGATCACTGGGGGTCATAGTCTTGAATATCGCGGGGACCGAGGAGCATCATCGTACTCGGCATCTCAAGCACTTCGTGGTATGAACTTGAGAAAAAAAAATAGTCGAAGTCGTATCGATCGAATCATATCGAATCGGACAAATCATTTTTTTATGTAGCTATGGATGCGACTACGAATATGGAGCTTTCTTCATACACGTCACGGAGCCATCAGCTTTGTGGATGCGGACGGCCCAAGTTCGCGGATGCTTGCCCGGATCTCTTTATGCCCGGCTGGCCCGTTTTCCCCCTACAACGCTTTCTAAAAAAATTCCACGCATCAATAGACTCATGTTTCATATTATCAAGGGTGGCACATCACAATCAGCAAACTGCATATACACAAACATACAAATGTGTAACATCAAGTGTCGGTCGCCAAAAAAGAAAAAAACGGCACGGCTCCCAAGTAGCTGCATACGCCAGCTGTTGCCACTCGACGACAACTTGGCGTCCATGAGTTACACTGCTACCAACTTTGTCTAATTTTTCAGAGGTTTTGGGCGGTATTGGGCTTTTGCGAAACATTAGTTTTGAATGGAATAGACAGCAAATTTGGAAGCTTCCAAAATGAAGGCTTCAACAGTATGAATCAATACGGATATATTGTCATCAATTGCACTTAAGAACATGTATTCAACAACTATGGAGCAAACATTTAAAAAATGGTGTGTTCTTAGTGTAAACATCAAGGCAGCGCGTACGTTTATGTTTTGTGCATTTTTCATTAATATGATATAAATCAAAGATCACATAGAAGGGTAGATGATAAAACAAAACAATGATAGTTGGTTTTGCTATCAAATCCGGACTTCTTTCCGCCCAGAATATGGCACACTGAAGGGAAAGTTGTTCGGCGCTTGGCAGACAGATTGTGGCTGATGCAGATCTGTGACCCGGTCGCGTGGTGCACGTTTGGTCGCCGACATGGGGCTCAAAAGTAGAACAAAATCAACAAAAAATCCACCGATTTTTAGTCACGAGTTTGTGACTCAGAACCATGAAGACATTATATCCTGTATTGCCATGGTCTTCATTCTCGGGCTGATGTTTCAGGTGAGTTCCGGCATTCGTCTCGCGTGAGCAGCAAGGTAATGCTTGCCTGTTCGTTTCCATATGTTTGGTCTTGGTGAATGCTTTTGCAGTGGGATATATCGACATATGCTTTACCATTTGACCGTTTTGAAAGCAGGCCAGAGTCGCTGGTCGTTAATGCAGATTAATTTCACTCAACTTTGGGAATTTTAGTTGGATACTTCCTACCTGCTTATATGTGGTCAAGCTCTGTAAATGGTGACAGTTTGCTGTGACTGAGTTATCAGAGAGTGTGTTCCATATCGTTTGAACTTATTCTTTTCCTCTGTGTTTATTTATTGCTACTGGTTATCAGCATTATTAACAAACTGCTGGTCATTGTTGGCACAGCACAGCAAACTCTGTTGTCAGTACATCAGCACAGATGTGTTCTGCTCTTGGCACCTAATGTCAGATTAAACCTCAGTGATGATGTTCTCAAGCTGATACCTGGCTGCACTGGTGTCTGATTGTTTTACTTAAAGTTATAGGTTAAGAGCTCAGCTTTTTTGAGTCAGCCCATGTTCTGCTGCTGCATATAAATTATAATAGGGTGAGGTTTTACCATTGTGTTTTGCATGTTATGTAGCTGATTTGTTATGAAATGGGGTATCAAGGTGTAAATGTACCCACAATGTCTGCTATGCCAAACCATGCATGCCTCAAAATACAAGTGTGCCACATGAAATGCAGAAGAGTTTGGGAGTATCTTGTTAATCATGTCTGGATTTGATACAGAGCAGTTTATTTAAGGGGGTAATGCTTACAGTATATACCCACCATTTTCATTTACAAGGATAATGACACATGACACTTGACCATCTGCACACTGCCCTGCTTAGCATGCAATACCTTATTTTTCCAAGATGTTGCATATTAGCTAGTAGAACAATGTTCATGCACACTATTCATGGAGTAATTGGCACTGTTCTAATCAGTCCATCCAAAATTATTTGAACTCATGTAGTGACACAATATGAGTTTGAGCACAGCACCTCTGCTCAGGAGAAATTCCAGTAACAAAGGATGACATGAACATATTCAGACCAGCCCAACTATTGAGTTCTATGTTTTCCTGGGATTTGTCCCAACCTAGCATTTTTCTTGGGGATTAGACCTAACTAATGGAAGAGAGGGCTCCACCCAGTGACAAGCTGACTTGTCTACCAATCAGCAGTCAGCACCATCTTTTGCTATTTGCTTGTACTGTGAATGCTGCTGCATGTTAGACAGAGCAGTTATTTTATTTTGAAAGATGAGATAAGATGATTTTACTGCTTTATTATTATCATTGCTGTTACATGGTTCCAAAGGAGGTGTCTTACATAGACAGCTTTATTCTGATAGGTGCCTTGGTTGGCAGTTTTGTGGTTCTACAGTTTTAAATAATACCTCAAGGGGGCATTAGGGTCATGTGCCTCCTTGCCCCAGAGGCAAGGAGGCACATGGGCCTTCTACAGGATTAATAGTCATGTGAAAAAATTTTGGTTACAAAATCAAGGAATGTGTAAGACAAGGGTGCTTGAAAACATGTGAATAACATTTGCACATTTACTAGCAAGAATTAAAGAAACATTTGTGATTGGCCCAACAGGCAAGAGCCTGTTATGGAGAATTGGGTTGGTAGAGGTTTGATTCCATGGGGTAGCATGGATCATGTGATGTTCCAATTCCCACAGCCACAGTGCACCTCAGAAAGAGCTCCTGTGGGAAATACTATTGGGGAGAAATCAAAGCCATAGTGTAATGTGTCATTGAATTTATAGGATAATAGCTTCATGTTTGTATACCTTTTTGTCTGAACAGTGTTTCATACTTCCAAAACATTTATTGCACAAATATTTTGGCACATTGGTGTATTGTGAAGATTACAGAGTACACATGTCGAAAAAGCTATGCAAGTGCAATATATTTCTTTCCCCACGGTGGGCTGGGGGTCAAATGAGATTTCTCTCACATGGTATGCTACTTCAAATCAAAACTGTGAGGTAATTGGAAGGATTTTGAGAAAACTGGCTTTACTGATCAGCGTACACATCTGATGTAACAAGTGAAAATACAAAAAGGTGGGATGGTCCCCTTGAGCTTGTGTAGATCTCACACTTGTGCACACAGATTCATTAAGCCAGGACGCTATATTTGAGCTTGGGAAATACAATGAACGCCGGTCCGACGAAATTGGAAAACCGTAGACCAATAGAGACAGGACTTGGGCGATCGGAGTTGCTGTGGCAGATCAACAGAGGCTCCCATCAACCGTGGAGCCTCTTCAGTGAGGCTGCACAGGTTCTTGTTCAGTCTTGTAACAGTGTTGGTTCCTATTCTTTGCTGAGCAAAGAAGAAGAACTCATGACCAATGTGGTGGGCATCTGAACGATCGGGAGTGCCCACGCGGGTGACCATATTGTACACCGGCCGGAGTGCAGGTCCCTCCAAGCAAACGGGAAGAATTCAGGACTACTGTGGAAGCAGCGATCGAGAGTGGCAGATGAACGCATAGGGTCACCGGCAACAGCGGAGGAACTCCGAGTAAACATGAAGTGCCCAAGACCAACGTGGCGGACCCTCGTGCGATCAAGAGTGCCGAGACAGGTTAACGGAAACGGCCCGACAAGAATGTAGGGTTCTCCGCAAAGGGGAGCAAGCGGAAAGGGCAGTTGACCAATGAAATGGACCTGTGAGCATCGAGCACTTCGTAGGGTTACCTGATATGGCCCCCAGTAAATGTGCAGGGCCCTCCGAGTAAGGCGAATGGATCCGAGACGAACTGTGAGGACCCCTGAGCAACCGAGAGTTCCCTGGCAGGGTTGACGTATGGGGCCACGGCACTAGTGCAGAACTTTTTGTGCGAATGGGAATAATCCGTGGAAGGCCACTGTTGATCGAGAGTGCTCCTTTTGGTTAGCATTGCTAGACACTGATCCAACGGCACTGGGTACGTGTCCAATAGTGGGCCCATTGTTTGACCCAACTGAAAGGGAAAGGTCAGCTGGCTACTGGCCAACGAGGGTCAACCCAGGCCCGGGGCGGCCGTGCCGCAACGTTATGCGGCACGTAAACCCTTCAGATTCCTGTCTGGCGAAAGGGCGCGTGCAAAGTTACGCGTTGAAGTAGGCGGCACGTCTTGGGCGATGGGTTCAGGGTACATGCAACATGTTACGCTTAGCAGGTGCTCGGAATCCAAAACCACCCATGCAAACGAATCGGAGTATGTTTATGAAAACGTAGGATGTTCCTGAGCGATCGAATTGCCACGGCAAGCAGACTCCATGGCACCAGCTTAGGGCTCCTGGACGACGAGATGAACCGTAAAACCCCTGAGTGCCAGCCCTCAATCAACAAAAAGTTATTTTTTGTCTGTGCTAGGGTCATTCTACTTGTGGCCCATTCGGTTGCCTGCAGGCCCAAAGACGTGCGTTGTTTTTCGTTGTATTATTAAAGAACCGTCCGCTCGGCCATTTATTTCCGCTACGGGGTTTATTGGATCCATCGAGGCCCATAAACTTTAATAATGAAAAATCATAGCTTAAAAAAGGGCACATGAACCCGTGCCTCCCCCTCCCCCTTCCTCCGGATCCACCACGAACCCATCCCCCTCCTTCTGTTTGCGTTATGAAGAACGGTGAATATGAACTAGTGTCAAAATGAGCAACGGCTTAATGCTTGACTTGGAAGTGGGTTTATCCATGACCATCTTGTGTGGCTGAAGCAAGTTCGATCCGTCTGATAGCTGTCGTCGTCGCCATACCTTCGTGTGGTTCCACAGTGCAGTCTGTCATTGCTATTGACATAGTTACGGTTTGTTGTACCAGAAGTGGCATACTAGAAGTCATCCGACTTCTTCTAACATTACCATTAAATTTGGGTGACTGTTTTCCTTCGCATTATGTCGCGCTCACCTGTGATGCCTGTGTTATAGCTAACGTGTTCGCCGTTGATGCGGGTGTTATAGCTAGCGTGTTTACCTGTGATGCCGGCGTTGTAGCTAACGTGTTCACCCGTGATGCTGGTATTATAGCTAACATGCTCTTGTTTATTGCAGGCCACATCTCCATTTGCCACCAAATTCATTGCTCTCCAGCACAACGTCACAATTGAGAACGAAAACGAACCACCCATCTTCTTGTACACAAATGGTATCCAGGATCTGTGCGTCATCTTCTTCTACTTCCTCATCTGCATAGTCATACACGCCATTGTCCAGGAATTCATCATCGATGTGAGTAGCTTTCCAGACAATGTGATCTTCTCATCCATTCAGCACCTGGCATCTAGATGGCTATGAATGTTTTACAGGCGATGTGCGTCGCTAGCGGTGGTTTGAATGTAATTTGACGCACGTCGTCACGCACCCTGCTTTGGAGCGCCAGCGACTCCTGCGGCGATATGAGCGCTCAGCGGCGGCCATGACGCGACCGGGGTTCGAACCCAGGGCCCCTCATGGGAGCCGAAGGCGCTAACCACGTGGCCTCTACGTCCCCCCTCCGATGGACCAAGCATGGTCTCACGCCTCGGAGATAGTCTTGTTATTTTAAACCTTTGTGTGGTATTGCTGCATTGTTTTGTAAATAATTGTATTGCGGCAGTTCGTGGCTGTGTTAAAAAAGGCTTATGTTTCATGCTGACGTTTTCAGAAAATCAACAAGAGGTTGCATTTGAGCAAGACCAGGCACAGCCGCTTCACCGAATCTGGACAGCTACTGGTGTTCTATCTGGTCTCGGTAGCCTGGGGCGGACACATCATCTACAGGTCAGCGCACTGGCTGAATGTGTGGTGTAGCTTGTGTTGTGGTATTTACAAGCATGCCTTGATGTAGATGGAAAATAATTGAGCTAGTATACTTCTCAAGCATAAGCACCAAAAGCCTGACGTCTGGTAGTATATTCATGAGTGGGGTAATTATGTAATGCAGAACCATCATATCACTCGCGTCGTGACGTTGAGAAACGCTACACATGGTGTTTAGAACATTTGACATGTGATGCCTGGGTCACACAAAGTTATGCCAGTTGAAAATTAGTGCATCAATATTCGGCTTAGTTTCGTTGCCTTTGTATGCCATTTTAAAGTATCGCCAGGCCACATGGGCAACCACCAGATGTCTCGCATGCAAGGAACTGTGCTCAGATGACAGACTATATCTTTTCCACCCATACCAGTCATGACCTTTGTGACCCCAAAGGCTTGCCATGACCACAAAGAGTTATAGGGAATTTCGGTCTGCTCCCTGCACTGGTGTTCATATCCTGCTCACCACAGTGTACTGAGAACACGTTTGGATAGGTCATACAACAATGGTTGTGCCGTGCTACGCTTTCACCGTACCCGTTGCATCAGCTGCTTGCATCATTATCTGGCGCCGTTTCAGGGAGAAGATTCTGACTAACATCACCTCGCTGTGGGAAGACTACCCAGACAGTCACACGCAGATGATGTTTATGTACAAGTTCTTCTTCGTCACGCAGATCTCCTACTGGCTGCACACCTTCCCGGAGCTGTATTTCCAGAAGGTGACCTGGAAACGGTCTGCACGATGTGGTCCCGTGGCTGTCGATGGCAAATCGTTAGAGTTCCGTGCGTTGTCTACAGCTAATGTCCCATCGGGACTTGACACGTGACGTTTGTTTGCTGTTCTGTTGGCTCTGCTCTTGGGTTGAGGTGATATGACATGGATCAGGCTGTGTGCAACGCTGTACATGATTTGAAACTGCAGCGGATCTTCATGCCAACACCAGCCGAGGACGATAGTCAGAACAATGATTTCAGCGGTGATGCTGATGCCTCGCCGGCATCCTTCCGTAGGCCTGCAGTACGATAGGCGGCATATCCTCCATATACTGGATCAATCGCGTACTAACACAGCCCGTCCTGGCGTTGCAGGTCCGGAAGGAGGACTGGGCTAACCGCATCCAGTATGCCACTCTTTACCTGATCTTCATCACAGCAGCCTACGTCACCAAGTGGGTATTCTTCTGCTGGTGGCACGCATTCCCTATTTGCCGTATGACTGTCATTGTGTGATATCGTGGCGCCAATCGACAGCGCAGCTGACGTGAAATGTGTGTATTATGTGTCTGTCCGTACCTTACGCGGCTTCTGCAGAAAGAAGAACGTCCGCTGGTTGTCATCCTGCTGATCGACCTGACCGATAACTGAGCCTCAGTGCGGCGTCTCTGACGTCAGTCTGTCGCCCTCCCCTTCCCCTTGTGCGGCACGCCGGCCGCCCTTCGCCTCAAGCTGCACCGTTCACCTGTACCCCGTGTTACCCTGTATAACGCGGATCAGCTGACTGTAGGATACTTTGACCAGTATGTCCCGCACCTCAGTCTGATCGCCCAGCCTCAGTCTGATCTGATCGCCCCTCAGTCTGACTTTCGCCCTGCGCCGCAGTATGACGCGGGTGGCCCTGGTGCTGCTGGTAATACACTACACGGTGGAGGCGGTGGTGCACGCGTCGCGGCTGCTCCACTTCGCCGACAAGACCGAACTGGCCGCCAACGGTGAGCGGCGCCCGCTAGCGGCCGGCCCAAGTGCGGCCCGCGGTGCTGTGCGAGATTTGGGGTCGGGCTGTCATGCGTGACACCTGTGGAGTCTGACTCCACTGTTTGACATCTGTGGGGTCTGGCTGACCTTTATGGAGTCTGCCTGTACTGTGTGATCTCTTCAGGGAGTGGCTCTGTTTTGTGACCTATCTGTGGCCTGACCCTGTAATGGTCAAGTTACATGGCTGTGCCTTGTTACATGGCTGTAACTTGTGAACCTTGCTCAGCTGCCCGGCCTGTGCTGGATCTGTCTGCGCCATGTAACTTGTGAACCTGGCCCAGCTGCCCGGCCTTTGCTGGATCTGGCCCAGCTGCCTGGCCTTTGCTGGATCTGGCCCAGCTGCCTGACCTTTGCTGGGTCTGGCTGCGCCGTGCTATCTCCGACGTTTGGCACTCCGCGTGGGTCGGTGCCGTGTGTGAAGCCCACTGTTCTGGGCCGGCCAGGGTTCGTCCTGTTCAACGTGCTCTTCACGCTGGCTCGCCTGTCCACCATCGTGGTGGCGGTGCTGACCTTCTGGTACGGCCTGGCGCTCAGCGACAAGCCAGGCCTGGACCTGGCCACGGGCAACTTCAACACCTACCTGGTCAGGTGAGAGTGGTGGTGTGACGGACGGCTGCCCCGGGCTGGAGCAGCCCAGGTCCCAGCTGTAGTTCCCCTCCCCCTGTACCTGTGCTCCCTGTCTGGGCTTCGATGTGAGCATCTGGTGACGCTGTGATTCCCAGGCATGTTTCTGCTGATCATTAGTTCTAGTCTGATGCCATGCGATACTGTACAGGACTGCTTCGATCAGCTGCTTATGGTAGGATGCCTGTGGCTGGGGAATGCGTTATAAGCGCGCAGTTGTATGCTGTCTGTGGTGATTGGGTTCACTTCAGGTGTATGATACTTCTAGTTCTAGGACCCAATATCAGGGTGGGCTATGTGCAGTCCCTAGAGCTGGCTCCAGTGTCAGCTGTGTAATCTGTACATGCTGAAATTGAAGAAACCACACGAGTTTTCACTGGCTGTAGCCCTGCAGCTGCGAAATGTTATTCCGGAGAGAGAGATGGAGTGAGAGCGAGGTATCGGCAGGTAAAACATGCGTTGTCGGTGCCCCAGGGTCAACTGTCTCGCTGCCATCTGCCTGCTGCAAGCCTGGATGATGTGGCACTTCATCACCTACCACCTGAGGCGCAGGCGCGAGCAGGCGCCCGCCAAGCCCGTCTTGAAGAAGGTGACCGCCGCCAAGCAGGACAAGAAGCCCAAGGAGAAGAAGAGTGAGTGACCGTTGTCTGTGACTGCAGATTAGCGTCCATTGCCTTACATTTGCGCTGTCCCTGTGCTGCCTTGACCGCGCTGGCTCTGAGTGGGCCGGCTGCCCAGTCATTCGTTCTCGTTTCCTGTCGCGGCTTCCGGGACGGCGATGGGTTATGTTCGTGTCATGCTTAAGCCCTCACTGTTGAGATCGGGGTCTCCCGATGCCACGCTGTGACGCGCACGGCATCAGGAAAGGCTCGGACGCGATTGGCAGTTGTGTCTCGCCTCCTGCGCTGTGCGCTGCTGCACGCGCGGCTGCGCGCCGTGCCGGGGTGATTGACTCCCGGCCGAGCCGCGCGCCGCCCGTGGCCGGCCGCTGGCGGCGGTGGGGGTCGCCCGCTAGGGGACGTCCGTCCGCCCACTGCACCCCGTGCCGTGCGCCACTGCTGCCATCCCCGTCCGCTTCGTTAGAGCCTTGCATGGGACGCTAACAGGAGTGGTGCCGGGCTGTGCGTGCCGCTTGCACGGTTGGTACCAGTCACGGTAGTGCAGGTGTTGCGTTATCTAGTCACTAACCTCCTGTGTTGTGTATGCATCTTGTCTGTCACATCGCTCGTCGTTCGTCGTGGGCTTTGGTATGGCATACACCCTGGCGTTATGTTCAGGTAGCATTGGTGCTTGGCCAGACCGCTAGATGTCGGGCTCCGGTGGGACGATGCCGGCCTTTTGTTTGACTGTCGGGTCTCTGCATGTCTGTCCTATCTCTTTTTCCAGCGTGATTCGGCCTGACATCGAGCTTTGTCCTTGTAGGCAAGAAACGCGACGAAGAGGACATGTCTGAGCTACCGGAGGTGGACCAGAACACCAAGAAACAGCTGCGACAGAGGAAGTAGCGGCCGGTGGCCCCGTGCGCTCAGTGTTTGACCGGCGCGGGTGTCGGGGCGGCAGGCCCAGGGCGACGCCGGGGGGTGGTGTGTCGTGTGCGCGATGCGTCGCAATGGGTCGGAATCTGGTGTTTGGGGCACTGCCAGTGGTGCTGCTGTATATAGATACTTTCGGACGGGTGAGGTTGCGGTTTTCTTGAACTCGTTTTCCTTTCGCGCGAAAGCCTGTCTGTCGTAAGTTGATGTCATTGACGTTGAGGTCGAATGTTGGGAGTGGGAGATAGCGGGTGTTACAGCGTGGGTTGGTGCCGGATTTTATTGATGACACGTTAATAGAAGCACACCTATTTTCCTGTTAAAAATGCGCTGTGTCGCAGGGTGCGACTGAATGCCCGGATCCTCGGCGGCGGACAGTGTCTGGAGCGCGGCGCTCCTTCCTTCCATTTGACAGCGTTTGGTGCCGCGCCAGCGCGGTCAGGGTGGGCCGCCCGGCCGCCGGCCCTGCCAAAACGATCGCATCGCTGCGCGAAACGAAACGATGCGCTACTATTGATCCGCTGCATATCTGTATGAAATACACGTGGACGTAATTTTGTGTTGCGTTAAAATGATTTCTGGCGCGCTCGAAGTTTGCTGGAGCTCCGGCGCGCCGCGTTGACAACTGGGATTATCCTCGCCACCATGGCTCGCGCTGGATGATCTGGAGCCAGTAACGTTTAGTATAAGGTCATCCGTGCTATCGGAGCCCAGTGGATGATCGGGGTCCGGTAGAACTGTCGGGTGTAAGGCCAGCCGAGTCACCAGGGCTCGCGCTAACAGACTGGGATCAGGTAAAGCCATCAGGTGCAAGGTCTTCAGGGCTCGCGTTGCGACGGAGCGGGGCCATGTGACGCCACCAGGTTAAGGTATCTAGTGCTGTCTGACCGAGCGGGGCCAGGTAACGCCATCAGTTTAAGGCCGCCAGTGTTGGTCGGGGCCATGTAACGCAAGCAGGTTAAGGTCTAGTGCTGGATGACCGATCGGGGCCATGTAACGCCATCGGGTTAAGGTATCTACTGTTAGTTGACTGAGCGGGGCCAGGTAACGTCATCAGGTTAAGGTCCCTAGTGCTGGCTGACCGGGTGGGGTCAGGAACGCCATCAGGTTAAGGTGTCCAGTGTTGGCTGACCGATCGGGGCCAGGTAACGCCATCACGTGCAAGTTCTTTGCGGTTGGCTGGCCGATCGGGTAATATCAGGTTAAGGTCTGTTGATAGAAGTGAAGTTTTCTTCTCAGATGGAGGCGTCCCTCTCCCCACCTCCAAGTCGGGCTGCAACCCTCCCTCCTCAACTGGGAAAAAAGTGGACCAAATCCGAGGAGATACTGCTGTTGTTGGCATATTTCTGGGCAAGCTCCGTCAAGTTTCACCGTTCAGTCCTTAATGCCTTTTGCAAAGCTATCTTACTGTCTGCAGGGCTCGCATCTTGGGTAATGTATCATCATCGGATGTCACCAGGACATCAGGGCTGCTCAGAGTCAGGGACCATGGAGCGGACGCACGGCATGTAACACACGCGCACACACGCACGCACGCGCGCACGAACGTAGAAAGCGTAATATATATATATATATATATATATATATATATATATATATATAAATTAAGAGACTAAAATTAGACGTCCGGGCTATGTACTCGTGCATCTCTTGAGAAATTAGTTCGATTGAGTTGTCCGGCGTTGGTTTTGGTTAACCTACCGACCTACTCGCGGTATGCGCATGGGCCCTCGGCGTTGACTTAAGGCTCTCCCATTCCCTGTTACTTGCGGAGGGCTCTAAGCTCTTGTCGGGCGTCCCATCTATGAATCTCATCTCGGGCACTCTCGATCGTTCGGGGGCGCTCCACATTCAGTTTTTGGTACCTTTATTTGGGGGGGGGGGGGGCTCTACGTCCTTATCGGGCCCCATCTCTTGACCTGCTCGGGCACATTCATTCGTTTGGGGGCCCTGCACATTAGGTCTTTGGTTACATCGAACAAATCAGAAGAGTGAATAATTTATCGTCCCATAGACTCTAATGCCGCAGAACTTCTTGCAATCAAAGGTGTGAACTTTGTACAGGCGCAGTCAGCATCTATGTACATTTTACTCCACGTGGAGGCAGGAGTTGAGCGTTTTGCATATGGCAAACGGTGGAAACACTTCATCTCAAAATTGTGTGGTGGTAGCAACACAACTGGTAATGCGACTGCACCGGATCAAGGTCGACCAGCTTCAACAGACAGCGCAGCAGCACCATCAGGACCGGCGAACGCACCTCGTGACCTCGGTGGACCAGACGCAGAAAACAGCAACGAAGATCAGTCGCATTGGGGTCACATCCCGAATCTGTCGTTTATATTTCCAGGTATCAGCAAGAACTTTCCTGAACCCTCCAGTGTTAATGAAGAAGTCAGCTTACAGAAATTGAAGGATGATGTACTGCGCACATTCATAAGGCACAAAGTAGGCAAACTAAATGTCATTGAAGGTCAGCAGAACTTTATCAGAGACCTTAGCAAAGCGTCTTGATATCGTTAACGAGATAGTAGACCTTGATGTCGTTAACTAGATAATAGACTTGATATCAGTTAACTAGATAATTAGAGCAATACGTGTAAGCGCCTAATACGCTTAGATACACTGTCGTCTGACGAACAGATACGAGACAAACCATTGGAGTGCCGATTCCCTCAAACGGCGTGAATGTTTAAGCTTGTAGATTAGGAGCTCATGGATCATGCTGACGTTCTGAAAAACAGCCGAAAAATCAGTGTAAATGGTACCCGTCTGGTATCCGTCCGACATGACCCTCCAAGGCAACTTAAAATAAACACATAAGTCAGTGCCGCACAAACCCCTAGGCTTAACACCATGCCGATGAGGGAACAACGCAGGCAAGGCATGGCTGGACGGCTCATCACGGGCGACCTGTCCCAGTATCTCCCCGAGAGGAGGAAGCAGGGGCATGCTTCTATAATTTGACGGCCCCTTTTGTGTCCCTTTCTTGAGAATTGGTGCTATGTTTCCCTGCCTTCATCTCCCCGGAAGGACGCCAAAAAGTCGCCAAGAGTTTACAAATCTTGATCAGCGAGGCAAGCAACTCGTCCGCGCACTCGGTAATTATGTGGACACTGATATTGTCGGTCCCACACGTCTTGTTGGGGCCTACCGTTGTTATCGTGGATTGCACGGATGCCTCGAACGCTCTCAGCTGCTTCAGTGACTCGACTGGGTAGCGTGGTGCAACGGAAGGGTTTCGCACACAAAAAATTAGCAATTTCAAAGCAAAAGCGTGATTTAACGCAGCAGTGCGAACCACGAGCCACATTTAACGCGAGCTACGACATCCGAAACGAGTGTCTGCCTAGAGTTAGACAGGCTGGAAGGGTTAGACAGGCTGGATGTGCATGACTTCTTCGTGGCACGTTTTAAAAGTGACCAGTGCCGCTAAGGCTCAGTCTTGAAGTCTTCGGTGCGTTAATGTAAATATCGAGTGGACTTGGATTTGGACACGGACTTACATCACGTCTACTGTCCGCAAACTCAGCCGCAGTCGTTAGCCCGCAGCTTCTCCGCCGTCGTCGGAGAACTGCCTTTCTCAGCCGGCGAGCAGCTCGCACCGCACCACCGAACCAGGCGGCGGTCGGCACCGGAGAGTCACCGTGGGGGCGCGATGGGCAATGGCGGACTGAAGTAGTATGGAGGTGTTCGTTGCTTGGTCAACTGCGACGACGTCCAGCAGCTCCAACGGGATCAGCGAGAGACTCCGGCGCAGAACGTTGAAGTCAGCCCTCTGATAGTTGAATGCCGCTTACCGGCAAACTGAGGGGAGTTCAGATGACCTGTGATACATTGACCTGTGAAGGCGCGCGTTGGGACAGTACTTGGTCCATAATGCTTTCTCCTCTAGTGGTTTGGCAGACCTACTGTCTCAGATCCAGCTAGCCGCAGGTGTCGACGAATCTGGAGGCATTGTTCGACGCTCTCCGCAGGTCGGAAACGACACACTGGCCGCCGGTGGTTCACTTATTTCAGTGAGGTTGAAATCTCCAACGAAAACCGTTCCGTAGTTCAGCGTTTGCACTGCTGACAGGCTAACAGCTATTCTGTCAATTGCAACGTCGTCGTCGAGAGGGTGGTAACACACGGCCAGAGTCACCGATGCACCCTGCAGCCGGATCAGCAGCACCTCGGTGTTGGCCGGGTTTGACAGGCCCACCGACAGCAGTGCCGCGCAGATGGCGCAGGCCAGGCCGTCACCCGCAGCCCCACGACCTCGGCGGAACCAGTAGTATATATATATATATATATATATATATATATATATATATATATATATATATACATATATATATATATATATATATATATATAAATAATCAATGAACTCAAATTAACCACATTTATTTTATATGGACTTTTCCAATCTGATGATCGGGTGGACACCCAGGGCTCGCAAGCAGTTACTACTTAGCGCGGGCACTTACCCAAAACTTCATTTCTCCATAGCGTTTAAGTCACATCTGATTTTGTGCGGGGTGTTTGTCACCTTCTTCTGCTTTGTCATCGCGTAGAACTTTCGCTGCCGCACAAAGCAAACAAAAGCAAGCGCTGCAGATGTCTCGATGCATTCTAACTAATCTGCTTTTCCAGTTAGCGAGGCGGTGATAAGCCATGATATCACAAAAAGCGTGGTAAGAAAAGCAGGCTCTTCGCTCAGGTAGGCGGTTACGGATGTCAGGCGTCAGCTTCACGCGGCAGCTAATGGGCCTCTTGCGGCAGACGGAAAGAAACGGGGGCCTTTTTGGGCACGGAGGGTCGTGCTGGACGCAATACACCATAAACGAACAGGAACCGAACCTGGGCGGGGTTTCAGAAAATGTGCTGTGGAGGACCGTGCACAGTTATGAAGCCTGCGACCAAAATTTGCCAACAAACGAGGTTCGCCTGGTATTGTCCCAATTTTCTCTCAAAGTTGTTGAGGCTGGTGCCGATGTCAGGGAGAGAGGGCGGGGGGGGGGGGGAGAGGAGGGACTGAAGCCCGCCCACAACTTAATAGGAAAGTACACCCCTGTATAGATCTGTTTTGTTCCACGTCGCTACGGAATGTTTGCCGACATCGCGCCTTCCACATAAGACAGGTGCTGGTTTAGTTTTCAAAATACTTGTCGCTTTTTCATCTCACCATTTAGGCTCTCGTCATTTTGGCATGGTGATATTTTCCCATGTCGCCATTTATTCAACAAGACAACCAAAGAGACTAGTCCTAATTTGTATGGAATTTTCAACTGAGGTAGTCACTTTTACGACCATTACGTACAGTCCACAGTTATGCCCTTCTTAAAACCTGCTAGGCGCAAGTGAGCTTGTGCAGACTTTTTTACGCCACTCATTCTGAAGTCATCCAGACATGCATGGTGCGATAGAAACGCCAAGCAGTTTTCGCCTCCCAAATGGCAATGTCGTGTTCAAGGGCAAAGCAAATATGACCACTGATTTTTTCGCAACTGAAGCACGTCAGCAAGGAACGTTACATCAACGGATAGCAGTTGGCTTTCGACCAGCTTGAAGTGCTTAATGCAAGTTTCGAATACGAAGCGCGTTTTGTCATACCTAATGCAAACATTTGGGCAGTTCTATTATTCACGGCAGAAATGAGCCTGGGACTGAGCAACTCGAGAAAATCAGCATAGTCGTGAATGTAAATGCGAGCAAAAGACACGCCGGAGAAGCATAAGAGAACCCGAAAAAGTATAAAAGAACAACAGGAGAAAGCGCCAAAACATAAGGGCATGAAGATGTTCGGCCAATTTCACACGCGTCTGTTCAGAAACCACCTGTTGGCGAATTGAAACAAGCTTAGAAGACGCATGAGAATAGTCCGTAAAATCCGTAAATAGTCCGTAAAATACGGTAGCAACTCTGACACTGCAAGTCTGACAGCGATCTTCATGCCACAAAATCGTTCCGTGACATTACCACACGATGACGTATTGAGGAGCATAATTACGAAATAGACATGCTTTGCCTAGAACAGCACTTGACGTTTAGAAACATACCAACAGTTACAAGTGAGGTTTTCCATCTTGTGGGAAGGCTGCCTCAACAACTTCAAATACGGGTCATTCTCTGTAAGTTGCTCACCATTTACACGTCCTTAAGTTGGCGTGTTATCTTTTGTACGCGTCACCGGTAAGTAGTCCACAAATTCGACCCTGGCTCATCGACTTTGCCTTTGCCGCCATTTTTTTCCAGTTCGTCATTTAGCCTTTCACAACTTTGGCATGCCGCTGTTTTGCAGTCTGCCATTTAGCCAGTTCGATTTTTGGCTCGTCGGTGTTTTTACATGTCGACAATATGGAAGTCGTCATATCGATGTCAACAAAAAGCATTTACCAAGCTGCAAGTTGACTTTCTGCCCGGAAACCGGTGGGCGGCAACAAAATGTCAGTTGAAATGAGACGCGTTTACCGCGCTGCTGCCCGAAGAATTCATGTGTATGATTCTTGGAGATAATTGGTTATCACGTATTGTTTTAAATTTAACTTTTCATAACTTAAGACGTGACCCATCTTAAATGTAGGGGGGGGGGGGGGGTTGTGAACCTCTCCTAAGGTTTACTGAAGGTACCTCTCCGGTATGTGGTACAATTACGCCAAAGTTCTCGCAAGCCTCTGGGGCATCTGTTGCGCGTATTCGCACACTAAAAACGTGCCCCTAGCGTCTCTGGATTCTGAAAAGCGGCGGTTTGTTAGGAGCGCTGCACGGCGATCCACAGTGGGCACGGGCGGCGGCCGGCAACTAACGGCTCCGCGGAACGTGTGCGGCACGCTGACACTGTTACATCGACGGAGCCCTTCATCATAAACATATGCTCAAAAAACGATGGCCTCCGACACAACATGCTGACACTGGTGCCTAGAGTCATACTTAGAAAACTGCAAACTGAACTGCGTTGCTTAATCGTTGCTAGGGATGGGCCCTTCCGCCTGTTTATAGGACAAGGTTACATGTTCTTCTATACGCCTTGCTCCTTATTCCGCGAACTTGCGCCGTGCCACAAGTTTGTGCAAACTGGTAACCATGACAACGACAATAGATTTTGCACAGGTATCGAATTCAGCACTGTTAACAGGTTGTGCTACGCCAGCAACCCTCACTAAATTACTGCTGTATACCTTCCTTACATATCTGAATAGCGAAAGTCAGTGAAGATATTACAGCATAAATTACGTTTGGGTGCCAATAGTGTGGTGGTTGACGCGTCTGCGTTTTACACCGGGTAACTTTGGGAAACCAGAAGTATGGGGTTCGCCCCCTGCGGTGCCCGCCCTTTTAATAGGGCGACGGGCAGGTGACACCATATGGCCCCAGCAGCTGAGCGCGTTGCAAAGCACCCATGACATGCAGCATAAGCTACTTTCTTGGATTTCCTGACATCGGTTTTTCGCAGGAGGTCATGATATGGAGGAGAGCTACATTAGCCCAGTAATCTAGCCGATAAGACGCCGCATCCAGTAGAAAATCTTGTCTAACGCGATTACGCACTGGTTGCCGGGTTCGTATAACCTTTAGACTGAGAAACCTTGCGTGGGCTCCCCCAAACTCGGTTGCAGTTTAATTGTACGGAATATGTTGGCACGTTTCCGATTCATTTGATACCCTCCCCTTTTTGTTCAGTTTGTGGTGATGCAGGAAACCGGCGACTTTGGTCTCAACACGGGCCCAATGAGAGGTGAGGGCCACATTGCAGTACAGCCGTCGTGAATATGTTTTGGCAAAGATGATGCACAAAATTAGACATGTCACGCGCTCAGATTTTTTGTTGTTGTCAAATCACGCCCATTGGATGCATCTTGCTCGTTCTACGCAGCATTGAATAAAAAGTGTTGTGAGCAGGCGCAGACCCAGTTCCCTACAACTCCATACCACGCATTTGCTGTAAAAAGCTGTCTTCAACGTCCACTGAGTTGAGATCATGACAACGTGGTTTTGTCGACGTATCATGTACTGTTCAGACTCAGTTCAGGTGGGAGAAGCCCTACCGGCAGACTGTCACCTCTCCACGTCGCTGCCCGCTTGCAAACCTACCGACAGGGTTGTGGAATCACATGGGCAGCTGCTTCATATCCTGTACTTCGTAGGTACAAATCACATTAGCATCAGTCATCCATAAGCATTCCGATCATTGCCTGAACGTAGACACTGACCATGTCCACATGAATGCAGCGAGGAGTTCCGGAGTGCGTGAGTGCATGAGTTGCGGAATACGGAGTGCGTGAACTCCGAGCCGGCGTTCTGGTGCAGAATGTCATCTATCGTCCACATCCGCACGCTGGCAGCTCACACCACACAGATGATTGCTTTTATAATATACACAAATAGCCTTAGCAGTTGGTCTCATGGGTCCAGATACCCGCTTGGCATCAGGCACGTGCTTTACATGACCCTCACGCACGAGCCCGGCGGTCAGCTGAAGCGGTCCGTGCCTGGGACACACGAGTACAGGTTGATTGGTTGTTCGGGCCGCTGGCCACTGCGCCCGCATGTGGTCACATATCGCAGCCGTACGGGGATGCACTGCCGTGGCTGGCTAGGCACTGGGACATGATATCAGCTCATCTGCATACCGATACATTTCGGCTGGACTCCAGAGGTACCTGTTTGTTGATACTTTGTGGCGACGCTCGGGCTATTCGCCTCCACATTACTACCAGCATGTAATCAGGCAACGAACGATCACCCACCGACCCACACCATAGTATACGGTGAATTCCAAACGTAAGCACAACGTACAATCAGGTATCAGACATGGCTATTCATGCGCAGACGCTGCTTACGGTGAAGCACTGCCTCTGTTTCATCATGTGGCAGTGATGCGGCAGACATTGTTTGGCGGGCTCTCAATGGGGGTGAACGCTACATAAATCAGGCATAGCTCCCGCGACTATTTCCTTTCCCGAGCGCAACCAACCGTGATCGTATACATAGCCACTCCTGTAACACAGACAGACCGCAAACATGCATGACGATAGAAGCCAAAGGCTTGTCCTGGAACTGCGCGTGTGTTGAACAGGCCCCAGGGCATGCTCCGGTGGAAAGGCGTCAAAGCGCACGTACATGGACGTGGGAATCTTCGAAGATGAGACGTGCTTACCACATCTGTAATAACCTCACGGGGAAGACGTATTGCTGGTCAGCTCGGATTATGCCCCATTATGCATCGGAAACTGTTTAACTTCCATTTCGATTTGCAACCCCAGCTCACAAACTCCGGCTACGACACGTGGATTAAGACCGCGCTATTGGCCTGCCGCGATACGCCATATTATGCGAGTCCCTTCCCTCCCCTCCCCATTGGTAACGTATCACATCACTCAGGCACCGCTATGCACGGCGGCCGCGAGACACCCCTTCGGCGACTCTGATGACCCCCTCTCCCACCGTTGTCACGCGCAACGCCGGTACCGATCTCGTCACGGTCACCGCTGGGAACTGTGGCGGCTCGGTCAACCGCCGGGGACTGTGGCAGCACAGTCACCGTCGGAACTGTGGTGGCTCGGTCACCGTCGGAACTGTGACAGCACGGTCCCCGCCGGGGACTGTGGCGGCACGATCACCGCCGGGGACTGTGGCGGCACGGTCACCGTCGGAGACTGTGGCGGCACGGTCACCGCCGGGGACTGTGGCGGCACGGTCACCGCCAGGGACTGTGGCGGCTCGGTCACCGCCGGGGACCGGGGACTGTGGCGCCGCGGTCACCGCCAGGGACTGTGGCGGCACGGCCACCGCCGGAGACTGTAGCAGCACGGTCGCCGCCGAGGGACTGTGGCGGCTCGGTCACCGCCGGGGACTGTGGCAGCACGGTCACCGCCGGGGACTGTGGCAGCACGGTCACCGCCGGGGACTGTGGCAGCACGGTCTGCAGGCACGGTCGCCGCACTACTTGTGCTCGGACGGTGGAGGGCTGGCCGAACCGTTGTGAGACGTCCTGCTGCCAGCGCCATTCATGAGCGGGACCGGTGGGGACCACTTGCGCCCCTGGAAGCCCTCCATGACGTCCGTCAGCTTCAGGGCGTAAGCGATTTCGAACAGGGTGTTGTAGCCCAGTACCCTGTCGACACGGCGGTGCGCGAGTCACGACAGTGCTGATCACACCAGTGCGGGTCTACGTGCGGCTCGGTCGACAGGTCACTACACTGCTGGTACTGCCGTCTCATGAAGGCTAGTGAAAAAGGCGAGCGTCCATGGCGTGCCTCAACGGTTCTGATAATCTGTTTCGTTTAGCGAATACTGTTTGAAGCGCATATTGTGTTTTGTTTTGTGACTGTTCATGTTAACATATACAAGCTTATCATATTGCTGGCTAAGCGCATTTATATGAAACTATACAGTCGTCGCAGCAAAGACCTTGATCACGAGCAAGCTCGTGACAACAGGTCAGCTTATTTCATACGTGCAACAAAATATGTTATTACCACCAATGATATCGACCAATGCATAAAGAGACACGCATGCGTCTGTCGAAATCACCAGCAACATCATACTCTTGGACGCAGGCAGCGCGGGCCGGATGTAGACGGGGTGAGCTACACGTGTTCTGCGCCAACAGGCTCCATTCCGACCGGACCTACGCAGACTAGTTGACAGGCCCCATCCGCAAGGACCATCGAGGACCAGCGACAGACCCCGGCATGACCAGACCAGCGACAGACCACGGCTTGAACAAACCAGCAGCAGACCATGGCATGACCGGACACGCGGCGGACTCCGGCATGACCGAACACGTCGCAGACCCCGGCATGACCAGACCAGCGGCAGACCCCAGCATGACCAGACCAGCGAAAGAGTGCGACGTAATCAAACCAGCGGCAGACCACGGCATGGCCAGACCAGACCACTGCGTGCGGCTGGCAGGATGCACAGTCGCCTGGACAGACGTACATTGAAAGCCGACGGGACGGATGCAGCCTCTGGCGGCGATGCAAGGTGCACTCGGACGGCATGGATATACCCGCCTTTGAGCGGTTCACAGAGACCCCATGTTTTGTCCGGCATGCATACTTCAACACAGGCACGCGCGTGCTCACAAACACATGCAGAGGACGGTGAGTGGGCAGCTGGAGCAGCCTCTCGCCACACTGTCCCGCTGGTTTCATCAGCTCGGTCTAACAAAAACTAGCCAACACTGTCCTCCACACACACCCTGAGGCCAAACAAAAGCCTGCCCTGGAAGCGCACCTCACAGTTAGTTCAGCAGGGTGCTGGGTCGCGACTGAGCACGAGAGGCAGACGGCACGAGCGATTCTGCCAGCACACACTAGCCGGCCGCATGCACTCTTACTGTGGACCGCACTAAGCTGTCTTCTGGCGACCGGTAAAGGCGTCCATGCTGCGCTCAACTCTAAAGCTGCGGCCGAGCCACCAGTAGGCGTTACTGGGCAAGAGCCTGGCGCAGCGACGGCGTCCGTCACACGCGCGCCAGTCGACAGCCAGTCTGACACGGCCGGCCCAGCGCCAGCGCGACCGCCTCGGGTCACGCTCAGCACAGCCACACCTACCTGCTGCAGCGGCACACCGCCAAACAGGATCTTACTGAATGGGGTGTTCCTCATTTGTGTCGGGTGTTGAGCTGAAATGGCCATTTTGAAGATCGTTCGGTGCAGTTCACAGCCTTGCCCTTCTTGCGACCTACAACCCTCCGGTTTCTGGGCTACATGTCCGCGAAGTTGTGCGGACTATTTCGTGCGCATTATTTCAAGGTCATTCAAGCATTTATGACGCCATAGAAATATCATCAAAATCCTGCGGCCACACTGACCATGCCGTGTTCAAGGCCAAAAATAATATAATTGTCGAGCCGTTCATATATAATGCTCGTGAGGACGATTTCCAGACATTATGGGTGTCAATCGGCTATCAAGCAATGCTGTACAAGCTATGCAAGAGTCTAACACGAATTACGTTTTGCGCTACGTAATACAAGAAGTTATCAGTTCTTCCCAGTTATTACGGGAATAGGACCTGATATCCAAAATCTTAAGATTCGCGCAATAATCCGAACGTTCCTTAACGCAATCAAACAGTTATGTAATAAAGAGCATATTAATTAAATCGAGAAATTGTATTGCTTAGAGCGGTCTTTTACACTTGAAATACACCAATAGCAAAAAGCGAGCCTATTTAATCATATCTAATGCTTACTGGAAAGTGTGGAGCATTCTCTTTAACCATTGCCTTGATCAAACTGAGCTATCACCCATAAGGTCAGGACACAGCCTGAATTTGCTGACGGGCGTTAGTGCCATGATACCGACGGGAGGGGCTTATTTTTTACCAGCGAGTGCCAATCTTATTAATAGTACCCAACCACTGCGGACAGCCTGACGGAAATAAGACTTGATCCCAGGCCCCACTGACGCTAAAATGTACAGTACCTTGCATATCATTGGGCTATCGATGTGGGTTTGCCCTGGTGCTTCTTAAGGAATATTTCGCACTTGGACATTGAAGCAAGCATCAGAATGATAAAATAAACTCACTTATAAGTATAAGTACACTTTTAAGCAGAAAGTACTGGTCTAGAAAAAAACATTTCCCTTTTGAGTAAATATGCTCCTCAATACGTCATTGTTTGAATACGTCATGGTACCTAGCACATCACTGATTGACAGCCAATCCGCCGTTATCTTGGAAATCGTGCTCACTAACGCCATATTTGAACCACTCGACAGTTATATCTATGTTGACCTTGATCGCCGCATAGCTTATGGGAGGGCAAGGATTTGAATGGCGTTATTATGGCATCATGGATGCCTGGGTAACCTTGAAATAGTCTCCCAAAAAAGTCAGCACATCTTTGCCCGCGTGTAGCTCAGAAACTAGAGAGGTCATAAGCAGGGCAGGGCTGCTGAATTGCACCGCATGATCAAGATGGCTGTTCCAGTTTAAAACCCAAACAAGAGTGAAACACTTCCTTTAATCCATTGTTTTAGCTGTGTACCGTACGTACTCACTCGGTTATCCGCAAGTCTTGACACCCAACTACGGCTGTTCGGATATACATGATGGAGCCCTCTGGCTTCGCCTAAGAATAAAACGGATGTTTGGACATTTTTAACACTATGTACATCAAACTGTATGACCTTACGCCGTGTCAATCCAACCGCAATTGCCTATAAGAAAGCTATGCTCACCACTCTGTTGTCAGACACCATCTTACGAAATACTGCGCCGACAGCCTCGGACAGAGCAGCATATTAGCGCTGGACAGAACTAGGACTAGCAGTAGGCAAGACCGGCGCCACACTAAACTGGCATCAGATGGGACGAGCCTAACAGCACACCATGTTACTGCAATGTCACGATCTTCAGATCAAGTCATGTCATTCCACTGCAGAATGCGCTGGTATGCATCATTAGCAACATCCAACATTCAGCTCAATCGGTACAGCAGTTGCTTTCATGGTTTTTGGAAATAGATTTCCGTGTTTAATAAGCGATGCAATTGCGCGGTGTATACCCTGGGAAGGCTTGATCTAGGGACATGTATACATACACGGACTGATCAGCACGCCATGTATGCATACATGGCGCGCTGATCAGTGCCGTTCCCTTGCTAGTGACACAAGATTTTGCTCGATCGGCCTCGCAGTTCCCAGCATAATGTTTGGCAGCAGTCTTCGCATTTGACATACACTGGCATTGATTGAAGAGCGTAAATCGGCGATAGCTCGATCTGAGATCGAGAATCTACATCTGCAGGGTGCGCTAGTCCACCTCCATCTTATGAAGCCGGATTTGACCCGATCGACCCCGGAGTTCATTCTGTGATATTTGACAGAAGATTGAGGCATTTGTACTCCTAGTGGTGTTTATTTCTGCATTGCCGATGCGGCCTAAGGTCACGAAACTGCACACATCTGATGTGTGGGCTCCGAGCAATCTATCGCGCGTTAAGCTTAAGACGAGTAGTTCCCGGAAACGTGTTTGGCAGTTATGGCAGTAATTCGGTGCCGGGCAGAGGGCGGTTACAGCACCAAGAGGGTCAGACAGGCCTCGGGCTTTCCAGTTGTCGGAAACCGACTGCTTAAACGCCAAGCTGACGCAGCTGACTGCCGCACACGGGACTCTGTTCTACTCCTCCACCGACCCCGGTCACTCGAGCCGCTGCCGTCCGATCAATATGCTGACCGGGATCATGCGACAGTGACGACGTCTTCGTATACACCACGGAGACACTAGCATTCACAGAGGCTCTTCAGTTTGCTGTTTACCCTTCCCAATATCTACATACAGGAGTTCGCACAACTGAGGTTGCAAATAAAACAATATCCTGCCGAATCCCGCAACTTTGAAACAAAAATGCGCGAGATATCGCTCAGCGTGCAATAATCCTGCGCACTAATAAACTGCTATCATGGGGCAAATAATGCTCGGAAACCAATCAGTTTTGCGAGCGTTGCGGTTGTAATGCTTCCGGTTTGTATACTTATTCACAGAAATCTAGCCCGACATTTTGCAGGCACCAAATAATCGACTCCAAGCTCAGTGATCACAATTCGTACCAGGTAGTGCTGGTTAAAAAAAGGCTCAACCGCGTTTCAGAAAACAATATAATTTCAAGCTGATCGTTTTTAAGTGGCATGCAGCGTCACAACACTACAGCCTCTCTCCACTTATGCTCCTGTTTCGGCCAGTTGCCACCTGTCGCAATAGGTTATCCATATGAACTTGATTTTCATTGCCAGCTTGAAACGGGGGCATAGCTGCGCACATGTGGCACAACACAAGCTGAGCACCAGGCAGCTTCTAACGTATGATCTATTTCACATAATTTGTACCGATCTCTTTAGATCCAGCTTACGTGAAGAGGGCTCTATACCCTAAGAGCCCACCATCGAAGTATCACGAGCTTGTCTCGAAAGATAGTGTTGCTCCCACCGGACACGAATGTGAATAGGTTGTTCTGGCGCTGGCTAGTGGCACAAGCCCCCACCATACCGGTCCCTCTGGCTAGTTGTGTACTGACATTGTCATACTGGTCAGAAGAGATAAGAAGGCAGAATACAAGCCACAGTAAACATACATACATATATATATATATATATATATATATATATATATATATATATATAAACATGTGCTGAGCCCCAGAGCGCCATGAATGTCAGTGTAATGTAACCGTTCACCCCCACAAAAAAACTGCACGATTGACTTCAGCGTCAACTTTATATCTCGAGTTAGTGCACCTCCACCTTTGTACACAGGCTCGCGGCCAGGCGGGTGCACTGGTTGTTCGTACACCCCTGACATTTGGGGTGCACCCCCAGCCTCGTTCAGTGTGAGCGCATCCCTATACTCCGGCGTGGGGGTGCTAAGAAGATTGAGTATGGCCGTTCCTGGCGTTGGCGTTCGCAGCAAATCGTAAAACAGCACAACATAATCGTCACAGCCCGGACAAGGGATCGCGTATGCACCAAGTGCGTACCTTTTTCCTGGTACACCCCGGGGGTTTGGTCAGCCAACAGGCATGTCTGTCCTGCTAACCCCGGGGGTTTGGTCAGCCAACAGGCATGTCTGTCCTGCTAACCCCAGGGGTTTGGTCAGCCAACAGGCATGTCTGTCCTGCTAACCCCGGGGGTTTGGTCAGCCAACAGGCATGTCTGTCCTGCTAACCTCGGGGTTTGGTCGGCCAACAGGCATGTCTGTCCTGCTAACCCCGGGGGTTTGGTCAGCCCACAGGCATGTCTGTCCCGCTAACATTTGCGAACCGGCCATGAACGGCATGGAAATGAGCGGCTGGTGGGCCGGCGGCGGCGGCGCGCCGGTCAGCGCACACTCACAGCTTGAAGAAGAACGAGCGGCGTCAGGTAGCCCGGGATGATGACGTGCTCCTTGTTCAGCAAGATGGCAGTCTCGATCTGATCCGCCACATACTCCGGCTCCAGGAACGGGATCACACTGAAGCGGAATAGCCGCCGCTGTCAAGGCCAGTGGCGGCGGCACCTCTGTCGAGTTGACGGATGGTTACCTCGGTTTTTTTTCCTGCGCCGTCGTAGGAGTGTTGTTACGTGTCGCAAAGGGTTGGAGGGAAGGGGACGACTGCCCGCTCACCTGGTCATGAAGTCAGGATATCATCACTCGCATGCCCCCCGGAAGTGAGAAAGCGCCATCTGCCAGGGCGTGAGCAGCGACCGTCCCCAATTGTGCATCATACGGGAGTTGTAGTGATCATCGGCAATTCTCCGGAGGGAGCAGCAGTGATCATCAGCCATTCTCCGGGAGGGAGCGGTAGTGATTATCAGCCATTCTCCGGGGGGGGGGGGGCAGTATTCATCAGCCATTCTCTGGGAGAGCAGCAGTGACCATCAGGCATTTTCCGGAAGGGAGCAGCAGTGATCATTGGATATTCTCCGCAGGGGCAGTGATCACCAGCCATTCTCTGCGGGAGCAGCAGTGATCATCAGCCATTCTCCGGAATGGAGCAGCAGTGGTTATCAGCCATTCCCCGGGGGAGCAGCATTGATCATCGGCCATTCTCCGGGAGAGCAGCCGTGATCATCAGCCATTCTCCGGAAGGGAGCAGCAGTGATTATCAGCCATTCTCCGGAAGGGAGCAGCAGTGATCATCAGCCATTCTCTGGGAGAGCAGCAGTGATCATCAGCCATTCTCCGGAGGGGCAGTGATCATCAGCCATTCTCTGCGAGAGCAACAGTGATCATCAGCCATTCTGGATCATCGGCTATTGATCATCGGCTATCCACCGGAGGGACGAGCAGTAATTATCAGCCATTCTCCGGGAGGGAGCAGCAGTGATCACCGGCCAGAAGGGAGCAGGAGTGCATTCAGACGCCAAACGATCATAACCGGAATCCCACTAATAAGTGATAATCGTACACCAGAGGAGAACGACACAACGATTACCATCTGACCACTAGACAAGAACGAGACAGCAATCACCATCTAAACACTATGAGACAAGAGCGACACAGTGATCATCACTGCGGACACCAAGGGCGCGATAGAGCAATTCTTTATTTTTTATCAATAGAATTTCTGTGTGACATCTCCAGTCCCTTACACCGGGCTGTGTGACATCCCCAGTCCCTACACCGGGCTGTGTAATATCTTCAGTCTCAGTGGCGGGCTGCGTGACATTCCCAGTCTCAGTGGCGGGCTGTGTAACATCCCTAGTCTTAGTGGCGGGCTGTGTGACATCTTCAGTCTCAGTGACAGGCTGTCTGACATCCCCAGCCTCAGTGGCGGGCTGTGTAACATCTCCAGCCTCAGTGGCGGGCTGTGCGAGATCTTCAGTCCCTGGCACACACTTACGTTGACTTGGCGCCATCAAACATTCCCGTGTTGATGAAGAACGGGCAGATGACAGTGGTATGCACATCGTCGTGGCCTCCCACCTGAAATGCATTGGGCGATGCCACTGAAGCAACAGGAAGGAACACACCGACAACGAAGACTTAAGAAAGAACCATGTTTCCCCTCGGACGAACAGGGACTCATTTGGGAGCTGTCTGTTGTAATGCAAAGCAAGAGACAGCGAGTCCGGTATCTCAGCGTCCGCGGCGCACACTTCACGTTGATACCGTTTTATCAGCTGCTGCCGTGTTGCTGATGCTCAGTTACACCACGGCACGTGATACGGGATTAATAATAAGCTGCCCAATCTCTCAGGGGTTTAAGTGTGCTTGGCCGGGTTACACAGAGACAGTGTAATCTCACCGTCCCCGTGTACCTGACAGGATTCATTTCGATTGTTTCTGATAACAGTGAGTCCTTTACAAACTCGCAGTGATTCCACAGAAGCAGAGGTCATAAACAGATACACCGAAGACGTTTGACGGCCGTAGGTTGCGCAAAGGCCCGCCGTGAAAGAGCACGTGAATCGAGCAACACAATTACGTTGGCTTCCAAATACGGCACAACAACACTGGCTGCAACGCTACACAAGCAGTCATCCAGATAGCATCTTCAGCTATTGGAAAGCTTTAAATAAAGCATGCATGCATTGACACAGACCCGCCGCTGAACACAACTGACGATAAAGGACCTCCCCGGTCTGATCCAGACGACCTGTGCGCCGCCGGCAGTCATCGCACTGCGAGGCGACGAATAAAGGGACGCATGTGCCCATTTGCTTTAAGAGTGGATACCGATTTCGAATCACTTAAAATGTTAGAATGCATCTGTGGGTGTAGCGCCTCTGTCAAATACAGAAGACAGTTCATGACGCATGGAGAAAAACTGGAGTGGCGCGGTTTCTGCGCTTTGCACATTCAGTTATTCTGGAATCGTGGTAACAAGGAAGCATACGGTACCATTGTGGTCTAGTGTAAGCCCCACGGATGCGGTACAAGTTTGCACGCATCTTAATGCTCTGAAGAATATCTAAATTTCAAATAGCTCTACAAGTTGTTCGACGAAGCTTTGCCCGCAGTAGCGACGTCCAGAGTCCTAGTGCAGGTGCTAAGCATCACTGCATAATTTGGCCTTAGATTCATCTGTCTAACCCTGTGAAAATGTAACACTTCGCCTACTATGGATGCATGGGGACGCCCCACTCCCCATGCGCAGTTGGGCTTTTGCCGCAGCGTTGTCAAGCCAGTTCATTCCACAGGGGGCGGGGAGATCACCATGCGCAGTTGGGCTTTTACCGCAGCGTTGTGAAGCCAGTTCATTCCACAGGGGGCGGGGAGATCACCTTCAGCTCAACGGTGAGCGACTCGTGGAAGCCGACGGCGGCGAACTTGGAGGCGCAGTAGTCGGTGAGGCGGCTCATGCCCTGCATGCCAGCCAGGCTAGCGATGTTCACCACGTGGCCCTTCTTGGAGGCGATCATGTCCGGCAGGAACGCCTTGCAAGTCTGCACAAGAGGGCGCCGGCGTCAGTCGGCCTGCGTCTGAGGCAGGTCGCTCGTGCTCGGTGGGCGCCGCTTGTGACGGGCGCTCGCGCCGCGCGGCTTGTGGCCGGTGGGCGCCGCGCCGGGGGTCAGCAGCGAGCGGTGGTCCGCACGCCGGGGATCAGCAGCGGGCGGTGGTCCGCACGCCAGGGATCAGCAGCGGGCGGTCGTCCACACGCCGGGGATCAGCAGCGGGCGGTGGTCCGCACGCCGGGGACCAGCAGCGGGCGGTGGTCCCCACGCCGGGGATCAGCGGCGGGGCGACGGGATTCTTATGTCTCGAAATAAAAGGGCAACCCATGGTTGATCTACGGGTTCTTTTGCTTTCAACACAAAAAACAACCGCTAGCCTTTTTTCAGTCATATGGAAATCGTGTAAAATGATAATGAATCCTATAATGTGCAAGACGTCAGCCGATATAATATGATACATGATATATATATATATATATATATATATATATATATATATATATATAAATGCCCGCCTAAGACATCGTTTCGATACATTGTGCACCATTATCATGACACAATAGCAGAAAGTTATCATAAAATACGAGTGCATTTGACAGACCGCGCGAGGCATGACAACGGTCATAGTTACCGCAAACTAAGCACAATTTCTCAAAGGACAAACAGGACAGCTTGGAAACTACACCATCACGCGACGAAAGATCTTTTACACTTCGCATGAAAAAAGCAACTTCGTAATTCGCAGAAGATATACAGACCCCGTGGTATTTAACGGTGACTTCTTTTGGTGGCTAAGACGTGGTTCTAAAATCCTAAGGTCGCGAAAATTGCTGCAACAATGAAGAACGATAACTCGATGACGATGACTGCTACGACGTGATGACCGAAACGCTGACAAATTACACAAATGATAGCTACTCTTGTCCTTGCCACCAAGTTTTTACCGTCTCTTACTTATATATATATATATATATATATATATATAAATTTGTGTGTGCGCGTGCGTGCGTGCGTGCGTGCGTGCGTGCGTGCGTGCGTGTGTGCGTGCGTGCGTGCGTGCGTGCGTGCGTGCGTGCGGACGGGCGAGCGTACGGGTGTGCATGCGTGCGTGTGTGTTTGAAATGCAAGTTATTAGTTGTCAAGGTTTTACTGATTTCAGAAATACCCATTCAAAGGCACGGCGGCATTGAAACGCGCCTCAGGCTATGTGACGTCACCGAGCGCTGGCGGGCCGTCCGGCGACCGGTAGGATTACGTCATCGAGTCGGCCGGTGCAACGCTTTCTGTTCACTCTTGTCGTAAAACGGGGAACAGGGATTGACATCGGCCTAGCATTCTTTTGAAAAAAAACTCTGATGAAGGTATTAACACATAAACATCCCCAGCACGTGCTGGGAACGTACCTTTTCGACAACGTATCGTTCCTTTTCAGTCCTCATTGGCATCTTGCTGTGCCGAGAACGGTTTGGACGAGCCGAAAGACAACAAAATAGTATACATGTAAGCAAACAAATGATATAATTTGCCCTGTCCACCCTAAGTGACCCCTGCCAATACCGGGTCAGCAAGCGTCCCTCCCCACCCGCACCCCACCCCGTCCCACGCACGGAATGGCGAGATCATCGGAATGTTCCCCGACTCGTTCCGAGTGTGCCCCGGTGTCTGGCAGCGCTCCTCGCCGCCGAAACTGCCAAGTCATCGCCACTTTCGCCAGTCCGACGGACGGCGCTGGCGGAAAGCTAACGAAAGTGACGCAACGTGACGGTCCGGCGCGTCGGCGTTACGTCCACACAGCGCCATGTCGTGGGGGGGGGGGGGGAGGGCGGGGAACGGCACCGGTGGTCTCTAGGCCGGCCGCGCCGGCTGGGGGACCGCGGGAATACTGCAGTGCAAACACCAGGCCGTTCATTGCCGGCTGGGCTGCGTGTCCAAAATATCTTACGGGGATTAAATTTGTCCGACATTAGTTCGTTCGTTTCTCTGTAAAAACGAACACGTGCGTTAACGTGAAAAATGCAGAAAACCTACGAGTGTCCTATGGACGCACAAAAGGAAGATGCTTCAGGCACGCTGCTCATTTTATCTAGCGCACATGAACGAAAACCAGCGAGCTGATGTGAAAAAAGGCATAATTAAGCCCGATGCCGGTTGGACTAGCATCACCCCGCTGAGTCCCGGCCGGACCCGCACGCGACAGCAGGGTCTCACCTGGAACACGACTACACGGCCAGATTCCAACTGGTCTCATTTGACCCAGCACAGCCCCGCTTAGCCTAACCCAACGCAGCCGTCCCGCTTGTTACCACAACCCAGCAGTCCTCGCTCATCTAACACGGCACGGCCGAGCTGGGGCGATACAACACAGCAAAATCCCTCTGGGCTAACCCGACACCGCAGTCCTCGCTGGCCCGACGCCACACCGCTCAGCGCCGGCTGGTCTAAACGTGACGCCGCAAAGGGACGCTGGGCAAACGTCAAACAGCCCGGCTCAGCCTGTCTCATGCGACATAGCAGAGCAAGGCTGATTTGACCCGACACGACCGGGTCCCGCCAGAGTCTTGGCTTTATGATCAGCGACCCTCACACACAAGAAGCAAGTATTCAACAGGACAACACGACATGGTCGAACACGGCACGGCGAACACAAAGTCGCTGCCTAGCTGGTCCAGCACATATCAGCAGCAGTCTCAGCTAGTGTAACACCACATGTTGGAGTCTAGGCTAAGCTAACATGGGGCTGCAGAGGCCCGGCTGCTTCAGCACTAGTGTAGCACTACATACATGGGAACCCAGGCCGAGCTAGCACGGGGGCTGCAGAGGCCCGGCTGCTTCAGCACTAGTGTAACACTACACATCGGAACCCAGGCCGAGCTAGCACGGGGCTGCAGAGGCCCGGCTGCTTCAACACGCCATAGCAGCGTCTCTGCTCGGCTGATAAGAGACAGTAATCTCAGCTGCTTCAAAACGGCACAATCTCGGCTGGGGGCGACACGAGACAGCTCAGTATTGGCCAAACTGGCCTCACGCAACAGAGCAGTTTCGCGGCCGGTGATTGTCAGTGGGACTAAGTGGGATCGTCAGTGGGGACTAAGTGGGGCCGTCAGTGGGACTAAGTGGGACCGTCCGTGGGACTAAGTGGGATCGTCAGTGGGACTAAGTGGGGCCGTCAGTGGGACTAAGTGGGGCCGTCAGTGGGACTAAGTGGGACTGCCAGTGGGGACTAAGTGGGATCGTCAGTGGGACTACGTGGGACCGTCAGTGGGACATCACGTACATACCAGAAGTGAGCGAGCGTGTTGACCTCAAACCGTCTTTCTCGATCAGCTTGTCTGGAATCTCCAGCAGGCGATTTCCGATGACCATGCCGGCATTGTTGACCAAAATGCTGACCTGGAACGTGAAATTAAGGTCAGGACACGGAACCAAGCGGCTGCCACAAGAGTGGAACCATCTACAGCGATTGGATGAAGCCTCACTTTGTCCCACATAAAATGGTACTTTGTCGTATATAAAGTACCACTTATTCGTCCTTAACTAACATCGCAGCACCAAGCTGCGATGTTATGAAAAGCTATAAAAGACGCAAAGCGAAGGCGTATGCCTGTAGATACCAGCGATCGAGAGCACGCCCAGGCACGGCTTGTTCCCGATATGCGCTTATGTAAATGCAGGGATGTGTGTGAGTAATAAGGGGAGGGCCCCTCTCCTCTCATTAAATGTTTGCATGCTGTCGGGAGTGAATGCCGACCGAATATCTGCCACGGGACGGAAGCCGGTTCCATCAGCTACCGAAGCCGCTCTGGGCACGCAGCGGCGGCTTTAGCCAAGGCCACCGGCGCCCTGTCTGCCTGGCGCCGGAGCGATCGGCTCCTCGGATCGGATCGGAGCGAGCGAGCGATCGGCCCGGCCAACCCTGCCCCAACGCCGGCACGCGGAACAGCGGCACGCACGAGCAGTCGGTGTTGGCCGGGTGCTGAGGCCTCGACTGATAATGGTTACTGAATGTGACTGGTAGACAGCAATCTCCGCTTCCAACGGAAGCCATTTGCCCGGGATACAGGGGTGTGGTTTCCTATCTCATTTTTTTATCCTTTAGGGACGATTGTAGCTCAGAAACCAGACGGTTTTTGGTCTTAGAAGGGCAGGGCTAAGAACTGCACCGAACTATCTTCAATGCGTCTATTTTAGCTCAAAACACTATACAAATGTGGAACAGGACTCTTCAATCGAGGGCATTAACACTCTCATTGTTTGCCAAAGGACACACAGGTCTTTAAACACAGAGGCAAGAAGCCCCAACTCAAGTCATGACATCCCAACCAAACGAGACTTGTTCGACCAAGTTTTTACTGTTCAAGCGCCGCGCGAAGTATGATGCATCATTTGACTGCCGCAAAACAAACATCCATTAACACACTCGACGATGTAATCATGCAGTTACAGGTGTAACAAACAGAGAGATCAGGGCACAAGTGAATAAATAAAATCACTTTGTGTGACGACCTTAATGGGTCGTGACGCAACTTACACGGCGGATTCACGTGAACAGGCTCCCTGGTTTGCATATTTTTTTGTGGCATGCAGGGGCTGAGATACAAACTTTGCGAGAGCTACCATGAGCATCAGCTCGCTCCGATTTTTTGTACTTTGGGAATGGACTGCACTTGAAATTCACTAGCAGTCAGGACGCAAATGCGAGCACGTTCAATGAAAATCAATACGTCACTGGGGCTTTGTGATGCAGTCAGCTGTTGAGGCTATACGATACCGCCCGCTTCTCATACTGGCAGGAATGACGGAGATCGAAGGTGATTGAACTGCGCATGTCCGGTTTCCCCGACGCACAGCTTAGCCACTACATCACCGGTGCCCATTTCAGTTGCCTTTGAGGGCCTTCCTTCAGCCGTTTTTGCATTAATGTGGCTTGTTTAGCAACTGATGAAGCCAGTGCAACAAGAGCCTTGGCCCCTTTGACGTAACGTAATATATCACAGGTCATACCTGTCGATGTCCAATAGTGTGCATTTGATAAATGTTTCCAGGAGCTACTCAACGCCGTTTTTGACATTGTCGTGGCATCCTGAGTTCTAAAAATAACAGCGTGATAACAGCGGGAGAATTAAAAAGTACTCAGCTTCTTCGTGGCTCTAGCTTCCTTTGGTTTCTTAGAGGTCTTAGTCCTCTTAGACCGCTGTTAGAAGGTTCAAATGACCACCCGCGCCAATTTTGGGGCGAGAGGTGGCCCCATTAAACTCAATGCAAAGGTTGCAGATGTTTCTGATCGGCCTCTGGCTTTCATGCAGGGCTGGAATCTGCGAACCCGTCGCAAAGGCGGAGCCTGCTGCGTTTGCTTTGCTGTGAGCCCATTGGGGCGCACCGTTTACACAGTCCGGGTCCAGACGTAGCCTTGAGTCGCGTCACCGGCGACACACCCCCTCCTAGTCCGAAGTCCAGCGGCGTCACCGCGTGCAACACAACCAGCACGCGCTCATGTGTTTAAACTCCGACGGCTTCCAGTCTCGTGGCGGCTGGCCAGGCGCCAACCGAATTTCTTGCATGCATAAATGACCAATACAATGTACCAAAAAAAATAGTAAATAGATGCAACTAAAGGGATGGATGCAGTCAATCAATTAATAATGAATTGTTTTGTAGGATGATGTGACATCACATTGTCAAGACACGATGACAGGATAGCGTTGTAAAATTGATTGGCAAATTTGAAAGCATTCTAATTGCCTTCAGAGTTAAATGTACCATTCAAATAAAGATTACGAATTGATGTTTCAAGTCGATACAACGAGCCTTGGAAAATCAGTAAGAACAATGCACAGTACACCCTGCTTAATCGGATGAAATCAAAGATGAATCAGAATGAGCATCCGTCTGTTTTGCGTAATATCACCCGTTCAGTAAAACAAGTCGTCAGCTATGACAAGGGACATTGTGAGCAAAGCCTAAACAACATGTCCGTTATGAAAGAAAGCGTATGCTTCGTTATGCTTCCCGTAAACAAGGAAGGCCTTGGGCTCCTGGTTTTGCGGCATTATGAGCTTCTTATTCTTATACTGACAACAGTCAAACTTCAATACGCCTTAAGATACTGGTTTAAAGGACATTATCAAGCGAGCATTGGCTAATTTGTATTGAGTTTTGACAGCTGCAGCAACGCTTCCTTGACTACGTCGCTTAGCCAGTCCCTCCTGGTAAAATGATGGTTTCCTATTGTTACGATAAGATTCAAACTGATATATCCCAAGTTATGCACTAATCGAGCATCAGTATTCCGTTCAAACACGTCACATGCTTCCAGGAGTAATTCATGATTGTCAGCGTGTAGGACACAAGCCGTAGCACCAAACAAATGAAAGGTCCACATAAACTGCGGTCTACTGGGACGAAACATGAGCTTAAAGAGCATGATGCCTGGGGAAGCAGACTTGCACCTGGTGCGTTTCAGATTTATGATCAATCACGGGTAACCCAAAATTTGCATGTACCGAGCCTGATGTAAATCATTTGTCTTTGACCAGATTCAGAACCAGGACGGGTTCGATTCTTGTTGCTTTCATTCAAAAGCAGCGATGGCTCTCAAAATAAGAAAAATAACAGTTTGAATGACTGACGACCGTGGGCTGATAAACAGCATTGCAGCATGGCTTATCCATATCATTATTTTATGCCAATACATATAAATTTCCACTAATAATAAATAATGCAAGAACATGAAACTCTTTACGCACGCACTACATGAATCCAATACACATGGAAGTCTTACAAATCTACGCATAAAGGGCGCGTTAGGTTGTAAGCCTCTTTGTCGGCTCTCGTTAAGAGTCCAAGGAATTCCGTCACACCACACCATGGCACCCCGGAGAGAGGAGGCAGGTATTCGTCTTCCAAGGCCAAATTCACTGGCGGCCCCAATCGTGATCGCAGAGAAAAAGACGGATCCGACAAAGCTCCCAGCAAGCTCACCCAGGCTAGACAAACAATGCTAGAGCTCTCAAAAACGGCTCAACGTGAGCGGTGTTAGAGCGACACAAGCTACAGAACTTTCTGGGCAGAGCAGACCGGTTCTAATCCTATATTCGCGGAGCATACAGAGCCCTGAGAAGGGCCGCGTTGTGAGCTCACTGCGGCAGTCCGACTGCTGCTCCGAGATTAAACGCAAGTCAGGTCTCCATGCGCCCAATGTCTGCTTCGGTTTCAAGCAGCTCGTGCGCTCCAAAGACGAGCACCGCGGCCGCCGTCGTGCGCCACAGGAAAGGCGGCGGGCGTGACAAATAATTATCGTATTGTTGAAGCCTTCTAACGTTTAACTCTTATTGAACTGTTTGCATAGCGCACGGTCAGTTTCGGAGGGTTGTCTTCTATTATCAGCGTTCATATGACCTTGCTACTTACTAGCTGTTAGCAATTATCACACAAGCGGTGTTCTTTTTATGAACGTTTGAATTTACAGCCTGGAAGTTCAAGTGACGTTTTGTTTTTTCTTCATCCTCCTGCAGTTAACTACCGCATCGCGCAACCGTGTGGTTTTCTATCCTCAGCTGCGAAGGACCAGCATGGTGCACACATGTTGTGTTTTCTGCACTCAAGTTGCGAAGGATCGCGTTACGTAGCCGTGTGGTGTTTTTCTACACTTAAGCCGCGAAGGACCCCAATTATGAGGCCGCTTTGCACGCAGATAACATTGTGCATCTATTAGGCGCTGAAAATGTGAGCCATGTCAGGAAAGCGAGCCTCGAACTTGAGGAAATCATGTCCAGATGTTTTACCAACTGGTCTCTAACTCACATGCCTTACCAACTGATGATTCAACATTTCTTTAGCTTACTGCATGACCACGGCTGATGTTGAATCGTATTTATTGGAAATATCACGCTATTCAGGATGTTTTAAGTTACAGCTGGAAAGTTTGCATGGTATATTGTTCGTTTGCTGTGCTTCAGCTGTGAATGACGGCATACGCAGCCGTTTTGCAGACATGTGATTTCGCTCACCTAACAGGAACTGAAAATGTGGACATCTCCGGAACATCCAGACGGCCGCACCATGTGACCTTTTCACGGCCGGATTTGTCAGAAAAAACCACCAGGGCGTTCCAATAGGTTTGAATAGCGTTTGATTTGACTGCTCTTAAGTCATTCATTGCCCTTTAGTAGTAAAGGATTCCGGATCACCTCTGTTTGATTTGATCGAACCAACCGTTGATTCAAAGAACAATGGAAAACTAATGAAAAGTAAGCTTGATTCCGATAATTATTCGGCTTCAGTCATTTTTAGTTGAAGTCGATTCTGCTCATGTAGAGTCGGCCACAGCACCATTCTGCGGCGCAGAAAGTCGTTTAGTCTTTGCC